AACAACAACAACAGTCTGATGTCCTACGGGTAAGGAACTACACTACCAACTCAGAAGCACGCAGTTCAAATTCACCAGCTACTCTATAGAAGAAAGATGGGAAATCTCCCATGAGATTTACTACCTCTGAAAATCCACAGAAGAGTCAGCTCTGAGTCTGTTCCAACTCAAAGATACATAATTACAAATATCATGAGAAAAAGATGGGAGGTGATGACAGGGTCCAAACTCCTAACACACATGACATTAGTAGGGCATGCCGAATGCACGTTATACCATTTTTCAGAGGGGGTGAGGCCAAAATGGCTGTTTATAAAATTTTTTATGTTTCAAAGGAAAGTTATCACTTATCTCTGCAGTTATTTGTAACAACACACACATACACACATTTTTTATAAGCCAGTTTTATATGTATCAATAAGCCTACAATTCTTACACTCCATCCTATTTTTTTTTAAATTTTTGGAGAAGAGTGTTGAATACCCCTTGAACTGAGAAAAGAATTAACAAGTATTTCTTGGAGAAAGTTCAACCAGGGTGCTCCTTGCAGGCAAGGATGGCAAAGCTTTGTCTCACATTTTTTGGACATGTTGTCAGTAGGGGTCAATCCTTGGAAAAAGACATCATGATTAGAAAGGTAAGGATCAGCAAAAGAGAGGAAGATCTTCAAGGAGGTGGATTGACACAGTGGCTCTAACAATAAACTCAATTCTATCAGAAATGGTTAGGGTAGCAGGATTGGATATTGTTCAGATCCATTGTTCAGAGGGTTGCTTTGAGTGATATTTAATTCAACAGCACCTAACTACAGTAACAATGTAATCTGGTGGGAGTTGTCATTATTATCTAATTGCAATCATACCATTTTTCCTCTACTTTTTATTGTGATTTGAGTGAAAATTTATAAAGCAAATTAATTTTTCATTCAACCATTCATATGCATTTTGTGCAGTAACATTCAGTTCGATACCCAAAATTTAATCTGACTTTTCCCACTTCTTCCCTGTTATTTGATTTCCATTAATCCTTCTATACGTTTCTGTATATAACAAATATGGAATGAAGGTTTGTTTGAATGGTCTCTCCTGGCATTCTGCCTTTCTTTGATGATATTGTGCTAATCGTCTGCCCTTCCCCTTCCCCCGTCTTAATGTTTATGCCTTATGTATTTATTCATTTTTACTCCGCTCTCCACCTTTCATGCTTGTAAGGGTAGAAGGTCAGAGAAAGAGAGGAAGATCGTCAATGATATATTAACACTGCAAATGTGGCAATGATGTCATATATGTCAGAGATGATGGATGAGGTTGGCTCGGGACTTTGCAAGGTTCAGAGCCACCATTCAAAGGGTCGCTAGGAGATATAGCCTTCTAGACAGCATATAAAAACAATTCCCTCACTTGCCATCGCTGATAACCATCCAAGACAGATTTTTGTTTTGTTTTGTTTTTTTAATAAGGGAGGAGCTCTGGTGGCCTAGCCGCTCCTCCGGAGAAGGATGGACAATCTCCTATGCAGTCAACTGCCTCTTAAAACCCACCAGAGGTAAGGGAGTTCTGGTGACCAAATGGCAGGAAGCTGCACTACAATCCCAGAGGTGTGTGGTTCAAATCCACCATATTCTTTGCCGGAGAAGGAAGGACAGTCTCCTCCTGTACCAGCCAGATCTGATTTGACGGCACATGCACAAAAAATAATAAAATTAAAAAACAAAAACAAAAACAACCAGAAAACAAAACCCACCAGAGGGTCAGCTATGGGTTGGTGTCAACTCTAAAGTACACAACAACAAACCTTTCCTTAGTTTTCTATATCTCTTTCTGTGTGTCTCTACTTCTTTCTGTCTGCCTCTTTTTTGCTCACAATAAAAGGGTACTTCTCTTTTTCCTGCCTATTTGTACATACGCTTTGATTTGCCAACCAATCAGAACTGACTCATAGCTGACCCTCCAGTGGGATTTTAGAGGCTGTAAATCACAATGGGAAGCGATAGCCCATCTATCTCTCATGAAGTTCAGTGACAGATTCAAACTGCCAGAGAGGCACTACTTTTGAGTTAGTAGTCCAATTCCTTACAGATTATGTTATCCAGATTATGCCATCAGAACCTATACTTTGTCTTTTTTGTGCCTGATTTATATCACTCAGAATAGTTTCCTCCAAATTTATCCATGTTAGAAAGTGTCCTACCAATTTTTTATCATTTTTTAGTTTTGCATACTATTCTCGGATGTTAATTTACCTTAGCTTCTTTGACACTTGGATTATTTCTATCTCTTTGCTATTATAAAGCTATAAATAAAGATATAGTAAACGTTGAGTATGGATTTATCTGTTCATGTAACACTTTCATTTGGGGGGGCACATACTTTTTGTAGAAGATTACTAGATCAAATGGCTTTTTCTTAAATAAAATTTTTTATTATATACTGGTTTACTTACAAACTTTGTGTACATTGTTTTCACATTGGATCTTTCTCCTTTCCTTTATCTATCCCTCCCTCCATCCATCAAATTGTGTGACCCTATGATTAACCACCCCTTTCCCCCCACCCATCCTCACCCCTCTGCTCCTCCCTCCCCCCCTGGATCCTCATACACATTCTACAATAATAGTCTAGTATATACTATTCAAATGATATTTTTATCCTGAACTTTCTAGGAAGTGTCAAACTTCTTCCCATAATTGATGCATTCTACATTCCACTAGCAGATGAGTGTTCCAATCTCTCCACATTCTCACCATCATTTTCTGTTTGCTGTAGTATTAAACTTTGCTATTGTTGCCAGAATGAGATGATATTTCACTATTGTTTTGATTTACATCTCTCTGCTAGGTAATGACCTTGAGCAGTTTTTCATGTGTCTATTGGCCATCTCAATGTCTTCTTTGGTGCAATGTCTTTCCATGCTCTCTGCTCATTTCATAATTGGATCATATAGTTTTGTCTTCACACAGTATAAGCAGGAATTCTTTTCTTTGCTGCTACACAAATAATCACTAACTTTGTAAAAATTTTCTGATTTTTTTATCCACAATATCGTGGCAATTAGTATTCACCAGCTAAGGGGTTTTTAAAAAATAAACTAGTAATTAAAAGGAAAAACAAGAGAACATTCTTTAAAAACTTCTGCTCAGTTACTAAAAATATAATTAATAATGTAATTCAAAGTGAAGACTTTACAACTTTATTAGTATTCATATAATTGAAGAAGTATTACACTTAAGAAACTTACATATATACCACATATTATTTGATGATTAAAAATGACAATATACATTTGAAGGGTTCTAGATGATTGGTACAGATGAAGGATCTTGGGTTTATAGTGTGAGGGGAGATGACACTATTTTAACTGGAGTACACAAAACCTAGGTGCACTATTACAATGCTTAAGACTTTTCTTCTTTATATACATGATAAGGAAATAATTGTATTCTTAATCAGCAAGGTACTAAGGTCATAGTTATAATACATCATTAGCATTTCATGTGATAATAATTTTTATCTTGATTTCATTTACACTTAAAAATATTCAATCCAGGGTGAAGAATAGATGCAGTAATAATTTTTGGTTTTGTGGAATTTTTTTATTGTTGTTTTGCTTTGTATTGCTTTGCTTTTTTTTTTTTTTTTTGCTTTGCTTTTAATGTAAGCATGTGTACTCCAGGAGAGTCTTGTGGTAGAAATGTGGGGAGGGGAGGTTGGAAATACTCCAGAAAAACCCTCAGCTTTCCTGCAGTACTCAGAGGACCACTGAGCAGAACTGGAAAAAGCAATAAGATGGTAGAGGCCTGAGTACCATCATTAATTAAGCTGTATTCTTGGAGGTCATTAAAGGCAATTGGTGCTTTGTTAGTTACTGCACACTGTAGCTCAGATGTTTTTTAACACCAGTGATTCTCAAAAGAGATAGCTGTACAGCTTTAAAAGTGAGAAATGTTTTGTATAAAGCTTTTAGTCAAGGTACTTTACATAATTGAAGTATAAAATAACATTTTTAAAGGTTGTAGATTTTTGTGTTTGTCAAAAAAAGCCATAAGATATGAAATTTTATGATGCTTTTGCATCATTAACATTGCTTTTCTGTTAGGCACAAACTAAATCATGCAAGAGTGAGTATGATACAAACATTACAGAAGAAAGTGAGGGAGGGTAAAGTTATCTTTGTAAAATTTCTTCTCATTTTCAAGCACTGTGCTTGACTGACTCATTGAATATTATTGAATTTGAAACTCTAACTGGAAGTTTGGGATTAACCAAATCATTGTACTACCCATTAAGCTAGGTAAACACCAATCTCCTACAACCAACAAGTGATAGAGCTAGTTATAAACCTGGGTCTTTCTTTCGATTCCACAGCTCATGTTCTTAGATTCTAATTGCAGGTATACTTCTGACTACCTGAGTTAGCTCATGGAAATCATTTAACTTCACAGGTCCAATTTCGTCGCTTCAGGAAGTAGCTACATCCAAATGATCTTTCCAGCCCCTATGTCTCAGTCTGCTGTGAATATATAAACAACCAGTATATGTGGCAGACGTGGTCAAGAGATCTCCTCCTTCACATCTCACCAACAAGAATATGAGAATTGTTCTCTCTCTGAACCCTCATGGAAGGGATCCACCTGTCATTCTAATGTTGTGTTTGGTCCTTTCTACAGCGTCATCTATGGCATTGTGATCCGGACTATTTGGATTAAGAGCAAAGCCCATGAGACAGTGATTTCCAACTGCTCAAGTAAGTGTCTAATAGGCATTACCCAATTCTGGGCTAATTTTCATGTGCAGAGATTGTCTTCTAGCATCTATGAACTTGAGCTTCCTAATTCATTTGCTATAAAGAGATGTATACATGATTAAAGGTGTGAAGGAAGCAGGAGTTGCAGGGAGAGGGGAGGGGAAAGGAAAGAGAACAGAAAAAATGAGGAAAAATTTAAAAGGGTCCGAATTTAAAATTAGCGATATTGAGTGTAATAGTTTCACAGTCACACATTGAAATAAAGGGGCCTGGTGGAACAATAGTTAACTGTTCCACTGATAACATAATGGTTGTGTGCAGACCCCCAGAAGAGAATGTCTGTGAGTTTGAACAATCAACCTTTCAGTCATCAAGCCCATGTTTAACCACTACACCTCCATAGCTCCTTAAATTATTATATAGTTTATACCTACTATCATAGAAAGACACTCACAATGTAGTTGATTAAAAATTAAAAGAAATTGTACAAGATTTTATATATATAATTATATAATATATATATATTTTTTTAAACATGTTACTTTGATTTATTATGAACTGTACATTTTGGCCAATCCAGAGTATTATACTTTATTCATTGATTAAAAAGCTTCCTTTGAGTTTATTCTTAGCGGATCTGTTGCTGTGATTACAATACGTGCAACTACATAAATATAACATTTACTAATTTTTATCTTAAAAGCTACACTTAAATTTAAAAGCTGAACTGCACTTTTCTTCCTCCATCTCCAGGTAAATTATAAAGTAGGAAAAATGTGATAAAGTATAGTAAAAGTATTCTTATAATACAATTTGATAAAGTAAAAGAATTAACTCTTATTGAATAAAATGTCCAATAAATACCACAGGCATAATTGTGAGTCTTCTGTTATCAAACTCACAAGAAAATCATATCATTTTTATAATAAAGCAGATAATAAATCCTGAAAGATTGTGACAAAGTATATCTCTTGTTAGGTAGAACAAAAGAGTAAAAGTGTTATTAAAAATAACCTCAAACTCAACTTTGCCTCCAAGGAGCATTCTCTTGCCCTTTTCCCAACACATAACTGTTCTTTTGGTGGTCCATGGGATATTCAGCACTTTTCTCCAACACCACAACTCAAATACATAGTTTCTTCCTCTGTCATGCTATTCATTGTTTGGCTCTTAGATACACAGCAGGTGATTAGAAAGACTGTGGCCTCAATCAGGTGTACCTTAGACTGACATCATTGCTTTTCAGGCCGCTGATTTTCATGATGTTCTACATCTCCTCCTTACTGCTGATATCAAGGATATAGACTGAGTATCAAAGCAAGATAAAATTGTTGACAATTTCAATCATTTCTTCATCTATCATGATGTTGCCCATCAGTCCAGTGGCAAGGATTTTGGTTTTCTTGATATTGAGATGCAATCCACGTTGAAGACTATAGTCCTCGATCCTCTGCAGTAAGTGACTGAGGTCATTCTCACTTTCAGCAAGCAAGGTTGTGTCATCCATAAAACATGGGCTATTGATGAGCCTTCCTATAATCCTGATGCATACTCTGATGAACAACTTTCTCAATTTTAAACCATGCAGCGTTCCCCTGCTCTGTTCGTATAACAGCCTCTTGGTTTAAAGTACAGATTTCACTATTTATGCTTTATTGACTATGCAAAGGCACTTGACTGTGTGGATCACAACAGGTTATGGCTAACATTGAGAAGAATAGGAATACCAAAGCACTTAACTGTGCTTGTGCGAAACCTATACCTGAACCAAGAGGATGTTGTACAAAGCAAGGGAACACTGCATGGTTTAAAATTAAGAAGGGAGTGCATCAGGGTTGCATCCTTTCTCCATATTTATTCAATCTGTATGCTGAGCAAATTATTCTAGAAGCTGGATTTTATGAAGAGGAATGTGGCATCAGGATTGGAGGGAGACTCTTGAATAACGTGCGTTATGCAAATGACACAATCTTGCCTGCTCAAAGTGAAGAGGACTTGAAGCACTTGTTGCGAAAGACCAAAGAATACAGCCCTCAATATGGATTGCATCTAAATGTCAAAAAAATAAAGATTCCTACCCCTTGCCCGATAGGCAACACCATGACAAAGGGAGAAAAGACCGAATTGTCAACAATTGCATCCTCTTGGAACCACAATTAACACCCTTGGTACCAGCAGTCAGGAATCAGGAGACATATTGTACTAAGTCTGGAGTTAGGAATCTCTCCAAATTACTGAGGAGTATTGATGTCAGTTTAAGGGCTAAGGTGAATCTAATTGAGGCCACACATACTTCAGGCACGTTGTTAGGAGGAGCTGTTCCTTGGAAAAAGACATGAAGTGCAGAAAGGTAGAGGGCTGGCAAAGGAGAGGAAGACCCTCAACCAAGTGGATTGACATAGTGACTGCTGCAATTGGGTCTGATGTGTCAGGAAGTGTGAGGATGGCACAGCTTAGGACGGGTTCAGACCTGTTGTTCACGGGGTCACTATGGGTCATACTCAACTCAATGGCACCTAACAACAAAAAGTGTTCTAAAATTCCTATTCTTTTCAATATCAACCAGTTTGCTATGATCCAAACAGTCAAATGTCCCTGCACAGTCAACAAAAGAGAAGACAACAAATTACCAAATAACATCATGAATGTTAAAAATAACCAGAAGACATTCTTTTGATATTCTCTGCTTTCAGCCAAGATCTATCTGACATTAGCAACAATATCGCTGGTGCCACGGCCTCTTCTAAACCCAGCTTACATTTTTATCAGTTCCTCAGCAATAGTTTGCTTGTATATGGTATTTATTATATTGTTCAATAATATCCACATGTTGCTGGATCACTTTTCTTGGGAATGGAAATAAATATGGATCTCTTCCAGTCATGGGCCAGGTAGCTATCTTTGAAATTTCCTACCACAGAGTAGTGAACACATCCAGGGCTCCATCTGTTATTTG